AAATACGGGACGTCCCGGCTAATACGGGACGTCCTGGATAATACGGGACGGTTGGCAACCCTACTAGCCCGCTAGGACCTAGCAGGCTGCTACCTAGATGATCCACGGCTCCCTGAAGTCTGCTGAGCTAACATTTCTGTCTCCACCCCAACTCCACCCTAACTCCACCCTAACTCCGCGGCTTGTGTGGGTCTTCCCATCCCGCTGCGATCAGCCGGCTTCCCCGCTGACATCGTCTATCCCTGCCGCCTACAGCCGGTGGCTATCAAGCTAGCTAACAAGCTAGTAGGCTGGTCCCCCGGCCTCTGCACCAGGCTGTCAGCCCCTCATACGATTCTCCTCCGAAAACCACTGGAATTATTCTCCTGATATGCTGTGGATTATCCTTCTCATTTTATCTGGACTCACACCGCTCCTTCTTCCACGGTCATCCGGCTCCTGGTCTCTGCTTCCCGGGTCCCCAGCATTAGCTAGCTCTGTGCTAGCGCCACTTCACTGGATCATACCGCCGCTCTACTCCCTGTCAGATCTCCACTCCTTTAATAACCGCCTGCCTCCGGACTGCATGGACATCCTCGCAGATAATGAAATACTCCGCAAACGCCGTCCTCCACACAGAGGCTCTGGCCGTACGTTTTTATTTCATTCCACGTCTCCACACTCCATCCCGTCCATTCGGTCCTGTCACACGCGCACGCCGCACACTACGCCATCACAACAAACAACACGTGAATCTGACCAATCTACTTCCACTCCCCCAGTCCACACAAACCCCCCCAATGCACCTCAGAGCAGCCCTGCTCAACACACGCTCCATCCACAATAAAAGCCACATTCTGAATTAATTCATTAAAGACGATAACCTGGACTTTCTGTATCTGACCGAAACATGGCAAACACCCCTGGACTATTTTTCTTTAAATCAAATCACCCCAGCAGGATTCACATACATTGACAAACCTCCCCCACAAGGGCGGGGTGGTGGTATAGCTGCAATTATCAGAAAGGAAATAAAAGCTACCATAATCCCCGTCCCTGATGTTTCTTCATTTGAACACCTGATCTTCAAACTCTCTGGTCCACTCCCCTGGTCACAGCCATCATCTACCGTCCCCCGAAGCCAAACCCCTCCTTTCTCTCCGACCTCTCTGACATTCTCACTCAGCTTTCTGCCATATCCCCATCTGTTCTCCTCTTAGGTGATTTTAACATTCATGTTGACGACCCGACCTGCAAATATGCCTCTGAATTTAAGGAAACCCTTCACTGCTGCAACTTCTCTCAACACATCAACTTCCCAACACACAGCCGTGGTCACATCCTGGACTTGGTCTGCTCCACTGGTCTCACCATCCATCATCTGTCCAGCCTCAATCTCCACATCTCTGATCACCTGGCCATCATCATGGACATCAACATCCCCATCCCCGCAAAAACGCACAATAACCTACAGAAATCTCAAATCCATCTCACCTTCAGCAATCACTGCCTCCATTACCTGCAAGATGTCTGTCTCCCCCCCCCACTTTCTGAAAACCCATCTGAACTTGTGGACTATTATAACAGCACCCTCTCCTTCTGTCTCAATGAACTGGCCCCCAGAAAAACAAAAAATGTCTCTTTCATACACTCCGCCACCTGGTATACCCCGAACTCCGCCAAATGAAATCAAGGAAACGTCAACACAAGAAAACCACACTAACAGTCCATCTTCAAATCTACAAAGACTATCTCCAGCAGTACAGTAATGCACTCAAAGCAGCCCGGTCTAATTAGTACTCACAACTCATTCAGTCTGGCTCCAGCAACCCCAAGCGTCTGTTCTCCACCATCAGCAAACTTCTCAAACCCTGTGACAACGCCACCTTGTTCTTCACCACCGAACAGTGCAACTCCTTCCTCTCGTTTTTCCAAACCAAAATCAGCAACATTTACAGCAATCTGACACCCTCATCAGCACCCCCCACCTCCCCTCCTGGCTCCCCCCCCTTCACCTCACAGCCCCTGTCCCACTTCTCCCCTGTGACCCCCATGCAACTGTCCGACTTCATGACTGGAATTAACTCCACCTGCACACTTGACCCAATGCCCTCCAAATGTGTTAAAGAGAGACTCCCTGCCATCTCCCAACTCATCGCCACCATCATTAACTCCTCCCTCAGATCTGGATCAGTTCCCCCCTCTCTCAAACTGGCTTCTGTCACACCCATTATCAAAAGACCTGGACTCACACCTGACATCATGTCCAACTTCCGGCCCATCTCAAATCTCCCCTTTCTGTCATAAAGACTTGAACGTGTCATTGCCTCACAACTTAAAGCACACCTCAGCTCCAATTACCTCTATGAGCCATTTCAATCCGGTTTCCGATCAAAACACAGCACAGAAACAGTTCTTCTGAAAATCACAAACCTACTCCTCTCCTCGGACTCCGGCAACCTGAACATCCTCATCCTCTTCGACCTCACCGCAGCATTTGACACCATCAACCACACCATCCTGCTGTCCCTCCTCGAATCATCACTCAACATCACCGACACTGCACTCTCCTGGCTGAAATCCTACCTCACCGACAGACATCAGTTTATCAACATCAACAACTGCACCTCCTCCACTGCTCTTCTGTCCCAAGGCGTCCCCCAGGGTTCGGTGCTTGGCCCCCTCCTCTTCATCCTCTACATGCTCCCCCTTGGCAAAATAATTCGTCGCCACAACCTTCAATTTCACTGCTACGCCGATGACATCCAACTTTATATCTCAACAAAAACCATCACCCCCACAACACACTCCACTCTCACCAACTGTCTCTCAGAAATAAAAGCATGGATGCAAACAAACTATCTCCAACTGAACAGTGCCAAATCAGACATCATCATCGGCCCCCCATCCCGTATCAAAGACATCCAGAATTTCAACTTCACCATTGACAGCCACACTCTATCTCCCTTTTCTGAAACGCTGTAGTGTTTTCTGAAATGACGTTGTGTTTTCTGAAATGCTGTAGCGTTTTCTGAAATTCTGTAGCGTTTTCTGAAATGCTGTAGCGTTTTCTGAAATGTTGAAGTGTTTTGTGAAATGCTGTAATGTTTTGCAAAATGTTGTTTTGACTTGCACTTCAGGGCCACCGTATTAATCCAATGTCTCTGTAACTTTGTAATTATAATGGTTATAATGGAGCTTCCGGTTTAGGAGGTGCGTATGCAGCGTCTCATTTTAACTGACCAATGGTCATGTTTACATGGATTTATGAACTGCCTCTTATAACTGCCCCCCTTCCAGAGACACACTGTCAAACACACTTTTTCAATGTCATACCTGCTTGGTATGACATTGAAAAAGTTACATTAAATAATAAATAAAAATAAATTACAATAAAATGACTGTTGTTTAATCTTCACATCTTGTAATCATGTCTATAATTTTGAGCACCAAATTATTGAAAAGTATCGATAAGAGTATAGAAAAATACCGGTATCGATAAGCGGTATCGGTATCGATAAAATCCTAACGATAACCATCCCTAGTTACAAGTAAAAGTACAAAAAGTATTATCATCAAAATATAGTTAAAGTACCAAAAGTAAAAGTAGTGATCGTGCAGATTGGTCCATTTCCGAATAATATATATGATATGTTTTATAACGATTGATCATGAAAGTGTTCTCAAAGCTGGTAAAGGTGCAGCTAGTTTGAATGACTTTGTATACTGCAGGGTAGCTTTTACTAATAGCTTTAATTTACTCCACGTGGAACTAAAGTCTGATTTAAGAGTTGATAATATTTCACATCATTAATCCAAATCTGTAAAGTAACAAGTATCTCTAAATGGTACTTAAGTACAGTAAATAGTTGCCAAAACGATGAGTTTTTTAAATGGTTTAATTGTGTGTAAAAAATATAGAGAATATTGGTAATGGAAAGTGAATATATAATTCTGTCTGTAAAAGAGGAGAAACGTTAATAAAGTAGTTTGAAAGAGAAAAGGAAAATAAAACAACAAACAAACAAACTAAGTGATCTCTGTGTGATGTGAGAGCGCATCTGCCTGGGCGCATACCAAAGGACAGGAAGGAGTGGATAAGAGGTCTGAAAGATTGCTCTCTGAGTAAATATATTTAGTTACTTTACACCGCCAGATTTAACGTGATATTAGTATTAAAGGTCCCATGTCATGGCCATTTCTACTGATCATAATTCCATTGTTGAGATATACTAAAATAGATTTATATTCTCATATTGGTTTCTCATACAGCATCTCTGTAAAGTATGTGTATTCACTCTCTGTCCTAAAGGCTTGTTGGAGCTCCTGCCCCCCCTCCCTGTGAGCCCAGTGTGCTCTGATTGGTCGGGACGTTGCGAGGTTCGCTGCTCAGTGAGCTGGCTTACTGGTGTGGTTTCCGGGTCGGCGAATTAGCGAGACAGCTCGAAACTCATCCTGAGCACACACAAACACTCACAGCCGAAGTAAAAACAATAAGTATGGCTTGATATTGAGTAAGAAAAAGGTTTATAAACGCTGTGAGAATGGGTCTGCGGAGAGCACTTCTCCGCCATCCCAACTCGTCTATTACCAACCATGGAGCTCTATGCAAGTCAATGGGACTCCCTGTTAGTTGAAAATGTACGCTAAAGGTCCCTCCACTGCGTTTGATAGTGACGCCAAGCGATCCTGGTGTGTGAGGAGCTCCACGGATTGGTCCATTTTTGTTCGGGGAACCGCATGACGTCATGCGGTTCTGGGAAGAAACAAATGGAAAAAGAGAAATCTCCAACGAGGCGTTCTGGGGCAGCATAGACAGGTATTTTCTGTGTTAGAGTTTTACTCGCTACAGGGTGTACTTTGAGGGTTTTTGATTCTGCAGACCGTTTACATGCATAAAAACCTTCATAACACACAAGGGGACGGGTAATAACCATAAAAGCATGACATGGGACCTTTAAATGGGCAGCAAGAAAACTACGTCCCTTTCCTTCTACTCAGTAAGAGAATTCACATGATACCTGAGTCCTTTGCGTGCCGAAGCGCTTCACTCTCAGAGAAGGAGGACATGTCGGTGGCTGGGCATCTGGCGGCCTGCTCGAAGCTCCTGAAGGGAACACTGCAGGTGTACACCACCAGGTCGGACAGCTCAGGACTCAGCTTACACACTGCTGGCTGAGAGGACACACACACACACTCATCACATCAGTATAACATGGTGAGAGCACTTCAGCTTGGTGCTGGTCTGTTGGAGACGTACCTTCTTCTCCTCCTTCTTGCTGCTGGGTTTGGCCTCCTCGTCTGAGCAGCTGAGGTCTGAGGAGCTGGACGAGCACCCCCCCACCACCTGCTCCTTCTTCCCCTTCACCAGGATTTTACCCTTAAGATCCTGCACACACAACCAACACATTACAAACAATATACATTGACAACTTTTTGAACTTGTAATTGTCCTGATTTTGTGTCTTAGGGTTTCCTGTTTTATTTTTAAATTCCTTCTCTTCTTGTGTCTGGTCATGTTTTACTTCCTGTGTTTTCCCGCCTGTTCCTGGTTTTGTTCACCTGCTGTTTTGGTGATTTTTCGTGTGTGTATTTAGGCCTGTCTTCCCTAGTGTTCTCTGTAAATTCGTTGTCGTTGTTCGCTCGGTTTGGTTCTTAGTTTCCTGTCTGCATTATTATGGATTTCCCTGTGTCCTCACCTACTAAACATTTACATAAACAGCCTGGCAGCCCACACTCTTTGCTAGATTGTCATTAGCTTCCCAGCCACTTGTATCATGAGTGCTAGTTATATAAATAGCAAGGTAACTGTATGACAGTGGTTAGATAACAAGAAAACACAGTGTAACATCCTCAGAGCAAATTATATATCACAGGACTGTAGTGACAGACACACACATGAAGTGGCTCAAGGGTGTGTGATTACTGAAGCACAGAGCATGAGGAGCGCACTAATCTACACGTTATGATTCTGAAATGTAGTTTAAGTGGGACGCAGAGAGCCAGATGGCTCCAGATTCAACAGTTTGTTAATTCAAACAGTCGCTCCCAGGACAGAGTCAGAGAGTTTGGTTATTAAATTAAACAGCTACGCTCCATCTGACAAACTCGCTATGGTCTGCATCATCATTGGTTGCAATCAGTGATGGAAAGTAACTGAGTACATTTACTCAAGGATTGTACTTTTTCGACATATTTGTACTTTACATAAGTAATTATATGTAATGCTACTTTATATTCTCAGGGCTCGACATTAAGGACTGCCCGATGGCCCGGGACCATCTAGTATTTAGCTCGGGCAATGAAGCCTCACCTGCTGGTTGCCCGATCGGGCAATCTATTATGCCAGTATCATGCAGCTCGCGGATCCAGTAATGAGTGACCCGACAGTAAAACTAAACATATCTATAACTAGTTTAGTTAGTTTGAGAGGTCATTAAAATAGCTACGTGTGATATTCTAACCTGAAGTGTGTGCTTTGTCCGCTCACCGCTGCAGGTGATTATGCAGAGCTGCGTGTCGACTCGTTAGCAGCAGCTGATCTCTCTCTCCCGTCAGATTAGACTTCACTCGCGTTTATGTCCATATCGATCAGATCCAGCTAGTTCTAGCTAATGATATGACTACCTGCTTATTAAAAGACACCTAAACAATAAGTGTCGCTATGCAACCGGGTGAGGCCACAAAGTATAGCGCAGCATTATGCATTTGTTTACATGCCCACCGGAACCCCGAGGCATTACCAACAGATCAACGCACAATCAACCCATACAGGACATCTCTTTCTTTAGACATTATAATTGACTATTCTTGTCTGTCACATACTCTTCTTGTCTGTCACATAAGTGGCGCAACTGAAGCGGTATTGCGCTAAAGGGAAATTATTTTGACCGAAGAGATTTAGATTTGCCGGCTAACGGGAAATCTGACGTCGCCATTTTGTGTGCTTCGCGGATGCGCTCGGCTCCTCTCGACTGCTGCTCGGGTCTGCTCGGTCAGCTTCCGGATGAGGAGGCATTCGACCAATTTACAGTAGATAACTTTACAAACATTTTTAACAGGGGCCATAATAGTGTAAATAATGTTTGTTTTGGCAATTATAACTGAATGTAATGTTTTCTACTTTTTTACATCTGGGAAGGCATCTGCCTTCATCAGATGGAAAGTGTCTTGACCAACAACTTAAGTATTTCTTATAGCTATGCAGGGCATGCAAGCGAGCAAACACAAAGTGAAATGAAGAATACAATTGAAATTGTACAATATAATATTGTGGTCGTTCATCTTATAATTCAGTCTAGAGAACCAGACAGCATCTACACTAAGACCTGCAAAAATCTAAATGTTCTAGGGTGAGGCCCCCCAAACCCTTCGTGCGTAATTTCGTCCGCGCACATTTTTCAGGGCAATCTCTATTGGGCTCAGGGCCATCTGTAAATTAGCTTATATGGCCCACAGGGCCATCTCCCAAAATCCTTAATGTCATGCACTGATTCTACTCTACAATTCTGAGATGAATACTGTACTTTTCACCCCACTACATTGATTTTAACATTCACCATTACTAGTTACTTTGTACACATAATAACACATACATGATGATATGGTATATTGCAGTACTGTAATAGTAATCTACAGTGTATCTATATTTCATCCACATTGACACAATACAATACTAAAATGCTATTATATGTATAAAAACAGGATAATATAATAACCATAATAATATAATACTGTGAATAAATGTATTAACAAGTACTTGTATTTGTGATACTTGAAGTGAATTTAGTTGATAATACCTCTGTACCTTTACTTGTAATGGAGAATTTAAAACCATAGTATTTGTACTTTTACTTAAGTGAAGAGTACTTCTTCCAAAACTGGTTGCGATGCTATCTCATTGTAAAACATCTGTGGACAGACAGACAGAAATATAAACACCTGCTAGAGTTGGTGTCTACATGTCCACACTGTGCTATGATGACACACACAGAGACTCACAAACTGAACACAACATCAGCAACACGCTAAATATCTTTACGGAGAAATCATTGAATAATTTCATGGTATTTTAATCTGACTATTTTTAGCAGCTAAAAACCTTCCAGTGTCCAGTACATGTACTTATATTCTTTGTCTCTTACAAGGACACTTTTCATTTTATTATAATGTAGTGTTGCTAATAAAGATTATCGTGTCCTTGCCTCTGGAGAAGGCAGCTTGTGAGGGTCCAAACCATCGGGGGGCTTGGTGAGCAGTTTGTCCCCCAGGATGGTTCTCAGGTGTCGGGCCATCACCGTCTGCTGCTCCACGGAGCAGTGGTTCTCCAGGGAGAGGATCAGGGGGTAGGGGGACGCCTGAGAGAGAGAGGGAGGGTGGGACACATCAGGGGGGAACATTTTCCATTTAGGAGAACAGGGGAGGAAAAATATCTAAAGGACAGTCAGCAAAATTGTTAATATACACCTAACCCCTTATACTGTTTTGTTTTTAGAAGTATATGAACATAATTAAACTCATTTTGGAACCTTTTTATACTCATCTGCAGAGGATGAAGAAGTACTAAAAGTACCATAGTGGAGGAATGCTCAGGACTTTTACTCTGTTTAAGTAAAAGTCGTGTATTCAAAATGTTACTCAAGTAAAAGTACAATACCAAAAGTAAAAGTAGTCACTGTGCAGATTGGTCTATTTTAGAATAATATATATAGTTTATGTTTTGACTATAATTATTGATGTGTATATATATATATATATATATGATTATCACAGCTGTGATTACTTTATTTACTGCTGGTAGCTTGTGAACTTAATCAAGTTGTAACCAAAGCCTTATTTAAGTGTTGATTATATATACTTTTTTCTTTATCATTAATCCATACCTGCGAAGAAACTAAAGGTATTAAATAAAAGTAGTGGAGTAAAAGTACAATATTGACCTCGGAATTGTAGTGGAGTAGAAGTACAAAGTAACAGAAAATGGAAATATTCAAAGTACTAGTACCTCAAAATTCGACCACTGCTCATCTGTACCTGATATCTCTGTATGAACAAGTCTAATAACTTTAGGCCTGTATATTTTGTACCTTGAGAGTAAATTCATTCCAATAAAGTACTCACTTTGAAAGCATAGTCATTGATGGTTCGAATGACCTCGACAAAGGGCACTTTGGAGGTGAGAGTGTGTCCATGGTAGATGACTGGCTCTCCTTTATCTCCATCCCAGCAGTCCAGCTCCACACAGCGGCAGCCATGTTTCAGGGCACTAAGAGAAAATATTAAATAATCTGTGCCTTATATTCATTTCAATTTGTTTGGATTGCACCAACATCCAGAGATAATCAGCATACTGTCTCAGCATGCAACCCTTTCAAAACGCACCAAGGCCCTTTAGGCATCCGTTTAATATTTAAACATTTAGTGCAGCATTTATCTCATGTTGCTGCCTTTGTGCCCCCCTCTGAACTCTGCTGCGCTCCTGGGGATGTGTTTCTCCCAGTTTGAATATCTCTGTTCTAAAGAGAGCTTCAAAAGGTCCTCCCTATCAGGGCCTGGCCTGAACCCCTTCAGCCATGGATCTATTCTGAGAACAACTAGTATTCTGAACTTGTGTTCATACAAGTAAAAATTGTCATTTCATGGCTTGATTTGTTCTTCTGTATATTGTCACTAAATCGCTTTGTTTATTTTGAACTAAAATTCTTAATCAGCTTTACCTGGACTATAGAGTGTGTGTGTGTGTGTGTGTGTGTGTGTGTGTGTGTGTGTGTGTGTGTGTGTGTGTGTGTGTGTGTGTGTGTGTGTGTGTGTGTGTGTGTGTGTGTGTGTGTGTGTGTGTGTGTGTGTGTGTGTGTGTGTGTGTGTGTGTGTGTGTGTGTGTGTGTGTGTGTGTGTGTGTGTGTGTATGTGATCTTACCGGATGTATGGCTCTGTGCTGCTGTCCCCGGTCAGCTGGTCCTTGGTGAGATAGGTGTTGTGGGAGGAGGAGATGAAGTAGTGAGCCAGAGGCCGACTCATGTCTTGGTAAACTCTGGCATGTTCGGGGTCAAACACACAGTTCTCCTTGGATAGCATGTACATGGTGAAACCATTAGGAGTCATGAACTGGTTCTTCTGGGCTGTACTGGGAAAAAGGCACAAACACTAGTTAATAAAAAGGGCAATTATTATATAGTGAACAAACTGGGTATCGAGTATAGTGGCCTCTGAACCTTCATAAATACATATAATTTACTTGAACTAGAGAGTGAGTATAGAACAAGCAGTTATAGTACCATGGATTGTGAATCTCAGTTGAAACATGGTAAAAACTATAAAGGCTCATTAAATAAGAAAATAATTATGTTTCTTCATTAGACTTTTGCAGCTGAATGTTAACCTGTGTCTGTCTTCAAATGTCACTATACTTTTGTGAACACGCGACGATATGAGCGTTAGGTGGAGGTTTACGCTCTCCGAAAGCCTCGTCTTATTTGTAAAAGTTTTTTGAAGTTCTGACTTATAGCCATGTTAAGTCCAATATTAACTCTTGTTTTAGTCTTTACCAACTCCTGAGAAACACTGAACAGCTGCTGGACGCTTTGTGTTTTACATGTCGTAGCTAACTTCTAGTGCTTGGCAGTTAGCGTGGTATGGGGATTGTTACTTAGCACCGTACCCCACGCATTAAGTTCATAGGTGAGGATGAGGCTCTGGGCGTGGGTGACTGAAGCGTCTTCTCCCTGGTCCTTCAGGAAATCCCTCAGGTCCACAGTGGAGAGTACGCAGCCATTTGCAGAGTATCGGATAAACACAGCATCCAGCTCTGGCCTCCGCAACAACTCCCTGCAGAACACCTCGATCTCCTCGTGGTCCAGACGGCCGTCCGCTGACTTGTCACACTTCTATCAATGAAACAGAGGAAACACAGAGATCACTCTGTGTTCTCAAGCCGCACTTAATAAGCTGCACGCTGTAATGTAGGTCTGTCATCAGTAAAGTCAAATACATGTAAAAGTCCCTTAATGGGGCCCTATAGCACTTAGTGTGGTTTTCCCTCTCCTGTAGTGTGTGCTATAGGTCTGTGTGCATGTAAATGTTCTGCAAAGGCTAAAATCCCTGTCCCCCCGTCCTTACATGAAACGCCTCCATTGGACTCCTTTGTTTACTTCCGCAACATAGTGACATGTATGTACTGTAACAATTGCGCTTCTATTGGCATATTGCACGTGATGATGGGGAGGAAAGCACTAAGCGGTTGGGCTTGAGCAGACTGGGCTCTGGTTTCAGACAGAGGGTGAAAAGAGAAGCTGCAGCACAGACAGAATGAGAACAATAAAGAGCTTTTTGAACATTAAAGCATGGAGACATGTCACAGTAGAGACACTAAATACTGATATGAACCTGAACATAAGCAGAATATCTTTAATTACTGATTGAAATCCTGGATGTCGGCTCATTATTTTTAAAGGTCCCATGACATGGCCATTTCTACTGATCATAATTCCATTGTTGAGGTCCACTAGAATAGATTTACATTGTTCAATGTTCCAACATCACATTGGTTTCTCATACAGCATCTCTGTATAGTATGTGTATTCACTCTCTGTCCTAAACGGCTTGTTGGAGCTCATGCACCCCCCTCCCTATGAGCCCACTGTGCTCTGATTGGTCAGCTCGCCCACTCTGTTCTGATTAGTCAACCACCGTTTGTTTGTTTGTAGCCTTTATTTATCCAGGTGAAAGCCCCTTGAGATCAAAAGATATATTTTTTAAGGGTGACCTGCAGATGGACATCAGTGTTTATGTGTTTGTTAGCAACCAGAAAATGACAAACAGATGAGAATGCTGCGTGGGGTCTGGGTGCCGTGTTGGCGGGACGTTGTGGAGCTTGCTGCTCCGCCCTTTGGGGCTCGAGGAGCGGACAGTGTGAGCTCGCTGTATTACTGGTGTCGTTTCCTGGTTGCTGCGAGACAGCGAGACACCGCGGAACTCAGCCTGAGCAAACACACACACTCACAGCCAGGCTGTGAGTGTGTGCGGAGATCCGCGGAGCCGCGGCTGAGAAAAGATAAGGCTGAGTGAGTGTGTGTGTGTGTGAGGAGCTCCGCGGATTGGTCCATTTGGACCAGGGTATTGTTACATCACTATACTCAGGAAGAAAAAAATGGAAAAAGAAAATCTCCAACGAGGCGTTCTGGTGCAGCATAGACAGGTATTTTCTGTGTTACAAGGGGACGGGTAATAACCGGAAAAGCATGTCATGGGACCTTTAAGTATGTGTGCAGTTTGTACCTGGAAGAGAGTGCGGGCATACTGGTCGCTCAGGTCGATGTTGATCATCTGTAGCAGTGTCTGGACTTCCTCATAGCTCATCTTATCATCGTGGTTGTGATCGGCCCGACTCAGGTAAGCATGAATCCAGGTGACAAACCAACAAGGTCAAGGAAGCAGCAGCAGCACAACATGTAGTGTTTGTCCATCAGACTCATTCTAACTATAGACACTAAAAACATTTCCTTCAATCAAAAAAGTGAGGAGGACAAAAGGAATGGTTTGGTTTGGGAAGTGAGCCTCCAATCTGAATTATGTCATATTTATTCCAAAGAATAAGACTTGATTATATGATTATTCTTGTCACTTTTGACTGCATACTGTATACAGTGGACCATTCTATAATTTGGAAGTACAGTAAGGATATTGGTTGAGCTTCTCCTTCTGGGTCATGTTCTCCACCCTCTCCTGCAGGGTCCTCATGCCGCGGGCCCAGTGCTGGGCCTCCTCCACGCTCTGGCAGAGCAGATCCAGACTTTTGCGGGGACCCTTGAAGACCACCGTCAAACACCGCTGCTCCTGTCCTGAGTCCAGCATCTGCCGCAGTGTCTCTGATTGGACACCCTCTCGAACACACTCCACCTCCATCACAGAGACTGAGGGTGTGTGAGAGGAGATGAACAGATGGAGGAAGAAGAAAAAATAAGTACACTGAACAAAAATATAAATGCAACACTTTCGTTTTTGCTCCCATTTTTCATGAGATGAACTCAAAGATCTAAAACATTTTCTATACACAAAATAACCATTTCTCTCAAATATTGTTCACAAATCTGAAAAGATCTGTGATAGTGAGCACTTCTCCTTTGCCTAGATAATCCATCCCACCTCACAGGTGTGGCATATCAAGATGCTGATTAGACAGCATGATTATTGCACAGGTGTGCCTTAGGCTGGCCACAATAAAAGGCCACTCTAAAATGTTCAGTTTTATCACACAGCACAATGCCACAGATGTCGCAAGTTTTGAGGGAGCGTGCAATTGGCATGCTGACAGCAGGAATGTCCACCAGAGCTGTTGCCCGTGAATTGAATGTTCATTTCTCTACCATAAGCCGTCTCCAAAGGCGTTTCAGAGAATTTGGCAGTACATCCAACCGGCCTCACAACCGCAGACCACGTGTAACCACACCAGCCCAGGACCTCCACATCCAGCATGTTCACCTCCAAGATCGTCTGAGACCAGCCAACAATCGCTTTGCATAACCAAAGAATTTCTGCACAAACTGTCAGAAACCGTCTCAGGGAAGCTCATCTGCATGCTCGTCGTCCTCATCGGGGTCTCGACCTGACTCCGGTTCGTCGTCGTAACCGACTTGAGTGGGCAAATGCTCACATGTGATGGCGTCTGGCACGTTGGAGAGGTGTTCTCTTCATGGATGAATCCCGGTTTTCACTGTTCAGGGCAGATGGCAGACAGCGTGTGTGGCGTGTGGGTGAGCGGTTTTCTGATGTCAATGTTGTGAATCGAGTGGCCCATGGTGGTGGTGGGGTTATGGTATGGGCAGGCGTATGTTATGGACGACGAACACAAGTGCATTTTATTGATGGCATTGTGAATGCACAGAGATACCGTGACGAGATCCTGAGGCCCATTGTTGTGCCATTCATCCACGACCATCACCTCATGTTGCAGCATGATAATGCACGGCCCCATGTTGCAAGGATCTGTACACAATTCCTGGAGGCTGAAAACATCCTAGTTCTTGCACGGACAGCATACTCACCGGACGTGTCACCCATTGAGCATGTTTGGGATGCTCTGGATCGGCGTAAACGACAGCGTTTACGCCGTGTTCCAGTTCCTGCCAATATCCAGCAACTTGGCACAGCCATTGAAGAGGAGTGGACCAACATTCCACAGGCCACAATCAACAACCTGATCAACTCTATGCGAAGGAGATGTGTTGCACTGCGTGAGGCAAATGGTGGTCACACCAGATATTGACTGGTTTTCGGACCCCCCCCCAGACCCCCCCCAATAAAGCAAAACTGCACGTTTCAGAGTGGCCTTTTATTGTGGCCAGCCTAAGGCACACCTGTGCAATAATCATGCTGTCTAATCAGCATCTTGATATGCCACACCTGTGAGGTGGGATGGATTATCTCGGCAAAGGAGAAGTGCTCACTATCACAGATTTTTTCAGATTTGTGAACAATATTTGAGAGAAATGGTTATTTTGTGTATATAGAAAATGTTTTAGATCTTTGAGTTCATCTCATGAAAAATGGGAGCAAAAACAAAAGTGTTGCATTTATATTTTTATTCAGTGTAAATACAAACAAGTTATCCACCCTAATACCAAGTTATATTCAAGTGTTTGGTTGTTTCAGTGGTGTATTGCTCGATGTTTCTTAAGTATGCTCGGTCCCCTTCTATTCACAATATACATCCTTCCGATTGGTGATATCATCCGCAGCCATGGTCTCTGTTTCCACATCTACGCCGACGACACCCAACTGTACATCAGCACAACACCCTCTGCCCATCTCCCCCCTCAGTCACTAATCAACTGCGTCCATGAAATTAAAATCTGGATGACCACCAACCTACTCAAACTTAACAGTAATACAACTGAGCTCATGGTTGTGGCCCCCAAGGCACTGCTTGGGAAGGTTGGAGATCTGCTCCACAAAATCGATGGTTCCATCATCTCACCATCCCCTCAGGTCCGCAACCTTGGCGTTGTTTTGGATTCAACCCTTTAATTTCAGAACCAAATCAAGTCAGTATCAAAATCAGCCTTCTTCCACCTCAGAAACATATCCAGACTCCAGCCATCACTCTGTTGCAGAGAAGCTCATTCATTGTTTCATTACCTCCCGCCTGGACTACTGCAACGGACTCCTGTCCGGGGTTCCCAGCAAAACCCTGGACAGGCTCCAGTACATCCATAACTCAGTTGCCAGGGTTCTCACACACACCAAGCGCTGGCAGCACATCACCCCCACTCTCTTCAACCTCCACTGGCTCCCGGTCAAGTCCCGCATCACCTACAAACTCCTCCTCGTCACCTACAAGTCCCTCCAAGCCCTCTCCCCTCAGTACCTCACAAATCTCGTCCAGCCATACATCCCTTCTTGCACCCTTCGATCCTCAGACTCCGGCCTGCTCTCCATTCCCCATTCACGCCTCCGCACCTTCAGGGGCCGTGCCTTCAGTGTTGCTGCCCCCACCCTCTGGAACACCCTCCCTGCTGAAATCCTTAACGCCCCTTCTCTGAACATCTTCAAATCTACCCTGAAAACTCACTTCCATTTCTGCCCCCTGTTTTATGTCTTATGTCTTAAGTTATTATTATTATTATTATTATTATTATTATTATTATTAAGCATTGTTTAGTATCTATCCTGAACCTATGTTTTCACCATGCAAATACAATATCTAGGGGCAGGAAAAGTAACTTTATAATAAGACTTTTCAGAAGCCATTCTTCCAGGAACAGATTTTGCAAATGAGAAACTCCAGTTAGAAGAAGTCTGTCCTTTGTGGTTAGAGTCAAATGTCTGTGCAGCAGACGTGGAGGGCCAGAAGAGTACAGCAACTGCAGAGGTTACGTTTGGGACAAAGCCATTGTTAGAGCAAATTCACCATGGAAAATCGATAGATAGATAGATCTTTCATTTTGTCATTGTACAGGTACAACGAAATTACAATAAACTCAAGGTGCGCAACAACAGGACAATATAAAAACAACAAGACACTATAAAAACAATAAATGGGACTTAAAATAGACATGATAGGGAATATGTACATACATAAATAATAAATAAAATTGCACGATTCCCCTCGTATTGCACGGAAGGCTTATATAATTTAAATATTAGCAGCATTTAGTGCACATATGGCCCTGGGAAAAAAACTGAACTTGAGTCTGTTTGTCCGGGAAGACATGGTACGGAAGCGCCTGCCTGAGCGCAGCCGTACAAAGTGCTTGTTACCCGGGTGGTGTGGATCCTTGAGGATTTTGACTGCCTTCTTAAGGCAACGAGAGCTGTACAGTACCTCCAGGGGAGGGGGCAACCGATGATCTTCTGGGCCGAGTTGATGACCCTTTGGAGCGCACCCCTCTCTGCGGCTGTGCAGCTGAGGAACCACACGCAGATGCAGTCGGTGAGGATGCTTTCCACGCGCAGCGGTAGAAGGACACAAGCAGGTCCTGTCTGAGGTGGTAATTCCTGAGTATTCTCAGGAAATAAACCCAAAATAAACGTTGGTTAAGGTGAAGCAACTTAAAAACTAGGTCAAATCATGTTTACAGCAAAAATTGTATTATTGTATCTATTAAAGGTCTGTAAAAGAAAAGGGAGCACGTCCCCAAACACACTGACTGTTTAACTTTCAACATCGCCATGTACAGAGCACACTAGCGCCGGTATGGGCACTGAACGTTAGCATTAGAAATACAATTCTTGTATTTATATTAATGCTGTCAAAATGATCGCGTTAACGGCGGTAATTAATTTTTTGAATTAATTGCGATAAAATATTTAACACATTTAACGCATGTGCAGAATGGCCCGCCCCATACATCCCACCAGTGGCAGCGCCAAGATATGGCTGGGGTAGGCTACAGCCATACATTACATTGCATTTAGCTGACGCTTTTATCCAAAGCGACTTACAATAAGTGCGTTCGACCAACAAAATACAAACTTGAAGAAAACAGAATCATATAAGTACATCAGGCTTCATAGAGAAAAAACATTTCAAGTGCTACTCAACTGGCTTTAGATAAGCCAGTCCTTTATTAGTATATAAGTGCTTTGTTAATAGTTCTATCGCTCGAAGTGGAGTCGAAAGAGATGAGTTTTCAGTCTGCGCCGGAAGGTGTGTAAGCTATCTGCTGTCCTGATGTCAATGGGGAGCTCATTCCACCATTTTGGAGCCAGGATAGCAAACCCACGTGTTTTTGCTGATGGGAACTTGGGTCCCCTTCGCAGCGAGGGTGCAGCGAGCCGTTTGGTTGATGTAGAGCGGAGTGCACGTGCTGGGGTGTACGGTTTAACCATGTCCTGGATGTAGGAAGGGCCAGATCCATTCACAGCATGGTACGCAAGTACCAGTGTCTTGAAGTGGATTCTAGCAGTTATCGGAAGCCAGTGAAGGCAGCGGAGGAGCGGCGTGGTGTGGGAGAAGTAGTCTAGGCGTGAGATGACGAGAGCCTGGACCAGAACCTGCGTCGCTTTCTGTGTCAGCTGGGGACGTATCTTCCTGATGTTGTAAAGCGTCTATCTGCAGCAGCGGGTTGTAGCAGCGATGTTTGCAGTGAAGGACAGGTTGTTATCTAGGGTCACACCCAGATTCCTTGCAGTCTGAGTCGGGGAAACAACAGAGGTGCCGATGTTGATTGTTAGGTCAAGAGTGGGACAATCTTTTCCCGGAAGGAAAAGCAGTTCAGTCTTGTCAAGGTTGAGCTTGAGGTGATGATCAGACATCCACTGAGAGATGTCAGCTAGACAAGCAGAGATGCGTGCGACGACCTGGGTCTCTGAGCGGGGAAAGGACAGAATTAATTGGGTGTCGTCAGCGTAGCAGTGGTATGAAAAACCATGCGGGCTAATGACTGATCCGAGCGAGTTTGTGTACAGGGAG